CCCCCCCCCTCTCCCCCCTCTAAAAAAAAGTGTGATGTAATTTGTGTGCGGCTCCTTATCTTTCTTTGTTATACTTCAGGTGGAAAGGTATGATCCACTAACTCAACGATGGACAACTGTCAAACCCATGTTGAGCCGCCGCTGTCGACTCGGCGTTGCTACCTTGAATGGCAAAATCTATGTGTGTGGGGGCTATGATGGTTCTGTCTTCCTCCAAACAGTAGAAATGTTTGATCCAGCAACTAACGAGTAAGGACGTCTTCAATCAAAATTATTTTGTGATGGAACTGCAGAAATATTGAATCTTTATGTTATCTTTCTAGGTGGAAATTTGTGGCTCCTATGAATGTGATGAGAAGTAGAGTTGCTCTTGTTGCCAACATGGGAAAGCTGTGGGCAATTGGTGGTTATGATGGTAACTCCAATTTGTCTACAGTTGAGGTTTATGACCCTCAGTCTAACACTTGGTCATTTGTTGCATCCATGTGTGCTCATGAAGGGGGTGTAGGAGTTGGCGTTATTCCTATTTGTAAGCCACCAGATTAAATGTTACAGAAAAAAGACATCTTGCCATGCTTTTTCAAGCTTCAACAAGGATCTCTAATCTGAATCAAGAAATTATCTACCAGTGCTCATGCATGCTTGCCATTATTAGAAATTTATAAGGACAAATATTTTATTTGTGTAAAACTCAATGAAATGTGAAAACGTGTACCTCCATGATTGCTGGAATGAGGTAATGATTTTTCATTATGTTAGGAGGAGTACTTTACAAGGCCCTATTAGCTCTCTACAAGTGAAAAGTTGGGAATTCACAACTAACAACAGAATAAAAACAGATACCTCTGATAAAAATGTGGACAGTTTTGCAGTTCAAATTGGGAAACATTTATTAATGGTCTGTTTTCTAACTTTTGCATGTTTTAATTTTTTTTTACATTTAGCAAAGAAACACACAATGGTGCACAAGCCTTCATTGTAGCAGTTTTACTTTTTACTTGGATAAAGATTACTTATCCAATCAATTTTAAGACACCATCAGTACTTTAATCTTTTGCACCATAAAGTTAGAACTTTTACCTGACATCATAGAGAAAAACGGTGTTTTTGTATGCATTCCCAAATTTTATCAATTTACTTTTAAAAATGTACAATTATTCACCCTCACTGTTTCACTTATCTTTAAGTTCCCTTTTACTAGTGTTTATTTCTCTCTATTATTTATTGATATGGGTCGATATTGAATTTTACGCAGATGTTCTGACAAATGTAATTTTTATGCACTGTGATTTTATGATGTACTTGTTCTATGTAGCTACTGACAAAACAAGAGTTTAGTCTAGTTCATTTTTCAGTTCCTGGAGAATGTGCCCATGGATTACAAAAACAAATATTTTTGAAATATATTTTAGGAATCTATCTAGTCCCAAAGTGATGTTGTATTGTATTCCCCAAAAATCCTAAAAACTAATAGTAAAAAATGAGCATGTTTCAACCTAAATTTGGTCATCAAGTTCATCTTGCTTTCTCCGTGCTGCTCTTTTCTTGAGCATGGCTGATGCGGCTGCCGCCACTGCCAGAGCCGCTTCAATTCCTCCTTTATTGGCCCCATCCTTTTGAACAGAAAAGCACGGATAGGACAGTTGAATAGAAAAAAATAACTTCAGGACAAGTTGTCTCAGGGATATTTTGAGCACTCACTGCAAGGCTGAGAGGCCAGCATCGCCCCAACTCGCGGGCCGAGTGGCCGTGACGCGATTTGGTTCTGAGGTCTGCCCCGCTACGCGCCAACACCGCAGCCACGTCCTGCCGGCCCCCAAGGGCGGCTAGGTGGGCCGCGGAGTGGCCCTGCTTGTCCAGCTGTCGAACGTCGGCGCCGGCCTCGAGCAGTAGCGCCAGGATATTGGTGCGGGCCCCTAGCATGACTGCAGTAAGCACACAGCGAGTGGTGAGAGAGGGACTTCCCCGGAGCGCCGCGGTCCATCACCGGGCCGGGTCCCCCAGGCACCACCCGAGTCTCACCGGCTCGCATGAGAGGGGTCCAGCCGTAGGAGTCTGGGACGTGGACATCGGCGCCGTCCTCCAGGGCCATCCTCACGACCTCCTCCGTGCCGCCGCTGGAGGCGGGCGCCGCCGCGGCCGACCGCAGTCCCGCCACCCCGTCGCCGGCCACGGCGTAGTGCAGCGCGGTGCAGCCGTTCCTGTCGGGGACGTCCCAGCGCGCGCCGCGGTCGCGTAGCGCCCTGCAGAGCGTGGCCGCCCCGCGGTGCGCGGCCAGCATGAGGGGCGTGCGGTTGGCGGCGCCCTCGGCGGCGTGGTTGGGGTCGGCGCCGGCGTTCAGCAGCAGGTAGACCAGCTCCACGTCGCCGCGCAGCACCGCGAGCAGCAGCGCCGTGCGGCCCGCGCGGTCCGGCACGTCCACCGCGAGTGGCCTTAATCGTGGAGCACATCAGCGTCGGGGAGCTCAGCTCGCTGCACTTAAAGACAACTCCCCAACGGCCACGCAGGACACACTGACCTCTGGGACAGGAACTTGCGCGCTCGGTGCGGCAGCCCCTGGCTTATGGCCCGGTGCAGGGCCACCATCGGAGCCTGGTCATCTGCGGACAGAGTTAGAGGAGGACATTGTCGGGCCGGATTATGGAGTGTTTGAAAGCAGAGCCCGAACGAGACAGCGACAAGCACCTTTGGTGGTGGCCGCCAGCGTGGTGCTCCACTGCCCTCGGCCCCGCTGCACCCGGAAGTGGAAGCTGTCCCCGGGCGCCATGTTGTCCAGCTCCAGGCGCGTCTTGTAGCCCCTGGATGGAGGATAAGGGACACTCTCGTGAGTACAGATCGCGTGCGAGGCGACGCGGGGCGCCTGCCGGGTAGGCCCCCCAACGCACGCGCTTGCGCGGCGGCCGGCGCCACTCTAGGCGCCGCGTGTGAATCGGGATGGCAAGGCTAATGTAATTTGGGTTCGCAGGATCGAAATAGGTCGAACTAGTATACATTGCGGGCAGCACGTCACCGTTTCTCGCATGCTACAACTTCTTCTTAATGTCGTCGCTCTCTATACTCGTGGGAAGCAAGCAATTTCGTGAGAATATCTGTTCTTTTACCATGACAAAGTCAGCTAAGTGCCGGTGCACACGAAATGAACGGGGCGGAATCAATCGACGCCCTGCTCAGCATTTAGTGCGTGGGGGAGGCGGGGGCGGGGCGG